GAGACAGGTTTCAATATAAGCAGTAATTTGAAGGTGATCGCACTTTTAGAATACATTTATTTATTTATTAGACTTTTTCCACACACAATATAGCATTCACATAAATAATATTTCATAATTATATTATGTCATAACCATAAGAAAAATACAAACTGTGTGTGGATAGAGGTCAATTAAGTTCAAAGAACTTGAAGCTTGACCCCCATTTAAGAAAAAGTAAACAGTATATACGACAATAATTAATCTGATGGACACAATAATAAGAATAACATGTTATGAACGAAAAAACTGAGGTGGAATTTTAAAAAAAGGTTAAATAAAAATAAAAGAAAAAGTTAAAAAAAAAATAGCAATAATAATAATAATAATAATAAATAATGATTATAATAAATAATGATAATAAAAACCAGAAAAAAAAGAGAGTAAATAAATGATAATAAAAACCAGAAAAAAGAGAGTAAATAAAAATGATAATAAAAACCAGGAAAAAAAGAGTAAATAAAAATAAAGGTAAAATGTGAGCTGCCAAGATGTATAAAGCTGGACATTCTTCATCAGGTTGAATTGTTACCATATTCCAAGATCAGAGACTTAAAATTAGTTTTAAAAGTAATGATTGTAGGTTTAGTTTTAAAACTAGCCAAGAGTGAATTCCAAAGATTGGGACCTGTATGTAAAACTGAAAAACATCTAAAGATTGGATGTATAATATTCAATTAAAAAGTTTTTAGCACCCCTCGTATTGTAGCCATGCTGGTCGGATGTCTCTATAAATGGGATGCAAATATGAGGAGGAATAAGTTTATTATCAATACAATACATGAACAAAGGGGTTTGAAACTTATTATTTAAAACTAAAGTATTTTATAAGGTTAAAAGTATGTTTCTTGGAAGCGAATGTTTAGTTTATTTATCATGCCAATATTTTGTGAAATAGTATTGCTAATTCTATTTTTAAGTGGGGTTTCCAAGACAGTTTTGCATATATTGTAATACCAAAGAATTTGGTTTCCTTAACTTGAGAAATATTATTGTTATCAATAAAAATACAATAATTAAGAGATTCTTTACACTTATGATTAAAATAAGATAAAATTAGTCTTAGAAATATTTAAAGATAATTTATTGAGCTTAAGCTATTTGGAGACTTTAATTAGCTTGCCGTTAACAGTCTTAAATAATGTATGTTTATTTTTATCCGAGTAAAATATGTTTGCATCATCAGCAAATAAATTCAAGTTAACAAGTTTAGTAGTATTGGGAATATCATTAACGTAAATCAGAAATAATAACGGACCTAAAATGGACATAGAATCCACGTTCAGTATAATCTATAAATAACATTACACATGATAGCACAAATATGAAAACAGTATATAAACCACTTAACAACCAGTATAAATAATGTTTACATTTTTATAAAATGAGGTTTTCAAATTGTGGTTTATGAATCCTTATTGATTATTTATAAACACAATTTTTCCAAATTGTGTAATTTTTATTTTTAGATCTGAACTTAAAAAAATGTTAACTTTGGACTTTGCTAAGTTTCATCATTGATAAAATAAATGTAATTGACTCAGTACCTCATTCTTTACTCCTTTTTAAATTATTTCATTCATTTTGTCTCCCACATACACTTGTAGATTGGATTTGTAATTGGCTTCATTTTCGAACTCAGCAAACTTTTTTTCAAGCATTACTCTCCCAAGCTTCTTATCAGCTGTGGAGTGGTACAAGTCAGCAATCTTGGTCCTATCCTTTTCCTCTGTTTCATTAATGATATTGTTGATATTATTAATTGTCATTTTTCATTATACACAGATGACTTAGTTGTTGTTTGCTCTTTTAAAGACTGCCTCCTTAATCCTTTGCTATCCACAGCAAATTATCTAACATTGTTATCTAATGGACTTCTTTTTACACCATCTAAATGTAAAATAATGAACATACACTTTCAAAAATGCAATCCTGCCTTTTTCCTATTACCCTCTACAGGACGCTGATTGACACCGTCCAAGAACTTAAATATTTAGGAATTAAAACCTCAAATAATTTAAACTGGCATTCACAAATTATCATCATAAATCATGTTTTCGCAAGTTCTCCTTAATTAAATATCTAAAAAATTCACTTGATCCAGTATCTCTCGCTTTCAATATAAATCCCATATCCAATCAAAGATGGAATATGCATGTGCTATTTATGGCAACATACGTGAATGTGAACGCGCGTACTTGAAACTTGTTGAATATCTTTTAAGTAAACTTCTATCAGATCACTCTTCATATTCTTCATATCCGCAACTATTTGATCAATATGGTATTACAACGTAAGACACAAGATTTAAATATTTCACCCTATGCACTTTTTGTTGAATTGTTTAGTCTTACGATCACATTCTCAAAGATTTCTTCTCGCCTCAACTTCAAACCTCTATCTCGCTTAGGTAATCACCGACAATCAGCCTTCTTGCCACCTCCTGGTAAAACCGAATGTTTCAAATCTTCATTTGTTCCATATCTGCTCAAGCTTTGCTCGTCTCTCAATCTTGATTCGTCTTCTGCCATCAAAGCCACCACTCGTACTGCTCTGCTTGGAACACATTGGTCTATTGTTAAATTTTTTTTATTGTGATTACTCTTGGCTATTGCAAATGTATATTTATGAATGTAAATGTAATGTTTCTTGTATGGCGGATAATAGGCCATCGATGGCTTTTGGAGGAAATAAATATTGAATTAATTATGTAAAGATGAAACTTTTCTGTTGCCACTTTATAAATTTTGCATTGTTATTTTATTATAGTTGTTATTATTTATTTTTTATTGTTATTATTAACATTTTGTTGTAGGTATTATTTTTTCCGGATATAATTTGATTATTGCCGTTGTTTTCGGAATCTACTGGTTAATTTTTGCCGTTGTCCATTTGTTCAGTTAGGATTATGTTGATGTTATTAATTCAAGCAAGTGAATTCATTGGCCTTCTAGTGGATTCATATTCCAAGACAACCCCAGGTGCTTAAAGATGTATTGTCCCAAAAAAAAATCATAGAAAACAATTTTGAAATTAGCTCGCTCATTTTGCAGTAACATAAAAATTATTAACTTGAGCATAGAAAGTAATGAATTTAAAATATGTGTACCAAGGTTTTTATACCGAATAATGAAAAATTATAAAAACATATCTAGTGTTTCTGTCATTTTTCACTGTAAAATTATAGGTAAACATTTTTTAAATACAATAATTTCTATGTTCTTGTTAATAATTTCATGTTACTTTGAACAATTTTTTTTAATTGTTTTGGAATTTTTCATGAGACAATTTAAAATCTGAGTTCAATTCCTTATTTGGGAAACTTTTTTTACTCTTGCGTATATAATGTATTACATGTTGGTTGCATGTATTATAGAAATGCTGAATTTGTTTTGTAAAAACAATTCAGGGGTAATAATTGTTTATGGTATTTATATTCTGTAAACCAGAATGGAGGTGAATTTTCTCAAAAAAGAACTTGAAGAAACAAAGAAAGTGAAACAAGATGAAGCACTCCGTAGCTTTGAAGTTTTAACCAAGGGCGATGCTAACGCATTGAAGAGAGAAGAGAAGTTAGTAAGTGAGCAAGTTTTTATTAAACCATTATCAGTCCTGTTCCTCCTCAGAAAATAATATATATATTTAAAATATGTTCACATATTGACAATTTTTTTAAATTTTTAAACAAGTTGTTAATTTAAAGGAATTCTTATGTAAAAATTAGTCCATCACTTGCTATCCTTTTAAATGATATACCGTAAAACTCAAATTGAAGCCCTGGGCTTTTGCAAACTTTGGATTGGCTTCTTTTCGAGGCTACTTTTGCAAAGTAAAGAGAGAGGCTTCTCTTCAAAATGAATTCTGTAAATTTTGGGAATTACTACTATAAAACATTAAATAGGACAACTGTAACATCAATCTGTATCATGGCATGTATTAACCAACATTGAATCACATAAACTGCTGTATAAACCAAGCATGTTTTTAAATTATTTTGTTTCTTTGAATATCTCGAAAAAAAAAAAAAGCCCATGCTATCTGGAAAAGAAACCCATGGGCTTCTTTTCAAGATGACTTTCTTTTTGAGGCTACTTTTGCAAACTAAAGAGGGCTTCAATTCAAGATGGGCGTCTCGAGATTTAGCCCATTGGGCTTCTATCCAAGGTTTTACGGTATATGTAGTTTTGACCTATGTCTCATTGTAAAATTATATCTAATTAGACCTTTAATTAGTCAGTCAGCATTTTAATGTAATTTTAAAGGATTCACTTATATTTTATCACAGGCAGATAAAAGAAAACTTGTAGGGTTTGTTGGCCAATATTAAGTAATTTAGCTTAATTAATAATTTTGATTGGCTTGTCTTTAATACAAAATGTTATTTTTATTATTAATAATGATGATATTTTAACATAGGTTATATTTAGTAATGGTTATTTTCTCTAGTTGCCGACATACTCAATAACAGCCTATTCCAAAGCCATTATATAATTTTAAAAATGTGTTCATTTCCTGTTGAATGAATTTAATTTTGTGTAGATCCCAACATGCTTACATGTAGTGTTAATTTTTTAAAGAAAATAAAATAAATAAAATTCCCTAGAGTTATTTTTAGTTTACAAGGAATTGTATGTTAATGTTATCAATAAGCATACAATAGAATCAATATCCATATTCAGATAGGAAGTTAAACTAACACTAAAAATGTGCTTACTAATTAAAAAATATTGTTTGATTTCAAAGCATCATGAGTAATTTTTGATGTATAAAATACTACAGAAGTTAGGCTATTTTATTATTATAATGAAATCCAACTCATTTAAATTAGGCAGTGGAAATAAAGTCAATACCGCAGAACACTAATTTGTTTACCCAATGCATCCTGTTTACGTTTGTTTGCATTCATTATCACAGTTGACTGACCCTGCTATATATCCACGTAATGGCGAATAAAAGTTCTCCCTATGCAGTGAAGTGTCTATATGACATATATTCATTTTTTAGCCATATATGGTGTGATATGATGTCAATGCCCGTATATGGGCAAATCATTATATTTGTTACAGAAAAGATTATAGTATGATATGATAAAACTTCATTGTCACAACGTTATAAGATACAGTTATGAGATATGGTTCCTTAAAATGCACTCATATTAGTATTTTTTAAAGTTTTTATTTGGAATCACTTCGGAAACACAGAAACACAATTAAATACATACAAGTTGCAGAAAAGAATAGCCAAGTTAAAAAATACAAGATGCTAAAAAGTTAATGGAAACAGTCAGTCATCAACTAATTAATGGATTACTGAGTTGTACGAAAAGTATAGGCAATGTATACGTTAATATAGATAGTGCAAGTCTATCTAGTAGGGATAGACCTTTCGAAGATAGGAAAACATTATGTTTTTGTCTGTTAATTGGCATGGGAATAAAAGAGATATTTAGACTTATTTAAATGTAGCAATTGAAATATTTCATACTGATATGCTATATCATTATTTTTTAACATACAATCAATATACAAACTAATAATAACAAATATACAGCAAACATCATCTGAACCTGTTAAAAAAATTGAATGTGTCCTTTTTGAATTTTTTTGAACAAATAGCAATAAAAACTGCCATTAGCAGTGGAACTTCCTGTAAACATTTAACTATGATGGATGACCAAAATTATTTCCTGGTTCATAATACAGTACCTGAGAAAAAAAAATAACTTCCTAGTTTATACTACCTGTTCTCTCAAAATGTGATGATGTTGTGAAAGCCAGTAACCCTTCGTAAGAGGGAAAATTTTGACTTAAATAAATGATGTTGATGATTATTATTATTAAAAATAATTTATAGACAGAATATTATTTTTTAATTTTTCTTGGTATTATTTTTTTTATTGTGTATAATTCAAGTTTATTTTCATTTCATTTCATTTCATTTATTCAAAATAATCTCCAACAAGGAGAAGCAAAGAAATACAATCAAAACAATGCAATTGAATTAAAAACGTGGCTTGAATAATTGGAAACAGGCATAAAATTTGGACATTACACTCACTAAACTTTAACACATTAAAAATACGTTTACAGAATTAATTGCAAGAAACAAGGAATTCACATTTCAAATACATATACATATGTATATATATATACATATACATATACACACATACACATGCATATGCATATGTGCATGCACATACACATACATATACATACCACATACACAAAAGTGTCCAGCATAAGTGACCAATATATCAACATAAGGCATGCCATCAGGGTTTGACAGTGTCATTTTGATTGTTCCCAGGATGTTGAAATGAAACAAGGAGCAGGTGCATCTGATACAAAACCAGAAGACTCTACCGTGGTTAGAAATTTGAAAAAAGAAAATTCGGCTATGAAGAAACAAATTGATGAGGTAAATGGAGGATTAAATATTAATAATAAAACAATATACCGCTCACATATAAAGCTAAAGTCTATCTGTATTAAGTGATTAATTAGGTTTAAATTTAACAACCTAATTAAATGAACATTATATTTTTTTCAATATTTGTTTCTTGCTCTTTTAGATTTTGAAGGTGAACAACGAGTGGGACCAACATTATGCAGGAATGAAATCCAGCTTTGAAGCCAAACTCAAAAAGATTGAGGAAGACAACATGAGAGTGAAAGAAGACCTCGACAGAAAAATGAAGGAGAGTCTTCAAAGAATGGCAGCTGAGAATCAGAAAGAGTCAATTCTGGACAAAAAGCAGAGGGAATTTGATCAGATGTTGACTCAGGCTAAGGCTAGGATTGATGCTGTTGAAGTAAGCTTTGTCACCTTAATTGTTTGTAGCAGCTTTGTGCTGAACTAAATAGAGATCCTTGGGTCCCAGATTCAAATCCATTACTGTCCTCTTTGTGTTCAGCTATAGGGCTGAATACACATTACTGTAATTAAATGTACAATCTTTAGAAAGAGATGTTTTAAACATTTGTCTTTTTTGCAGAAATGCTAATGTGCACTTGAGAAATGAGTGTGCTTTTTAGAAGATAGTGAGCCATATTAGTTTACCCTGTACATTTTAACACGCCTCCCAGTGCAGATAACTAAAACACATGTATGTACATTTGGTACATTCTCAAAATTTTGTTTTTTATAAACATTTTTAATTTTTAGGCTGAGAAAGTAGAACATCAGAATCGATCAGCACGACTTGAGAAATGGGTTCACATGCTTCTGGTACAAAAAGCAGAAAGTGAAGTGGAGATCGCAAGACTAAACCAGGTTTGCAACTCTAATTTGTTTAAAAGCTCCTTTGTATGTTTTTTTTTTTACTATAACACTTGCTTGTTTCCTTTCTTGTAGAATTTCTTAAAGAAATGTAATGTTAATACAGTGCAGTACCTGTTGTATGCACATACCTTGATAAAGCTAAATACATAAATGTTGTAATTACTCATTATTACCATATTTTTCTTTGGTATTTTTTGTTAAAAAACAACATGCAAAGCAGTAGAGAAACTGAAATAGAGCACATTTTACAAGAAACACTTCAAACCAGATACATTAAAAAGGCGAGAAAAAGAACCACACAATCTAAACAAAATTTCAGAATGATTTTTATATTATCGTTTATTTAAGATCAAATTCCAGTAAATTTTGCAATCATGTTTTATTTTTAAACAGCTTGTGATAATGATTTAAACATGCCTAAAGTTTAAACCTAAGTAAGTTAATTGACAATTTTATTTTTCAACTACTGTACTAAGTTGAGAAATGTTATGATCACAATTGTTTCTTAATCATTAGGAATTGGAGAACTGCATGCGTAATATTCATGATTTTAAACTACCACTCGGAGCTGCAGCAGCTTATTCGGCACCCCAGAGGAATCTTATCCCCAGGGGCATAGATAACGATGTGACTCAGCGTATGCAAGAACAAATGGACCTTCTTCAGCAGCAGAATATGGCGTTCCAGTCGGATTTCAACCAGGAGCGTAGGGATCGCCAGCATGCGGTCGGTCAACTGACTGAGGCTAAGGAAGAGATCGAAGCTTTGAGGAAAATTGCAATGGACTTACAGGAACAGGTACTTTACAACACATTTTATGATAATCATTATTCATTATTTAAATTGTTTTAACTTTGTTATCTTTTAAAGTCATATTATGTTTGGTTAATTTGTCTTGTCAATTTTGTTAAGAAAAGCAATAATTGAAATAGTTCCATAGCAGGATGACATTCCTCTTTAAGAGGAATAGAATGCCTATTGGATTTTGAGACATAAATATCTCCATTGGCGATGTATCGAAGATGCATATCTGCTAAAATCTTTTATGTATTCCTATTCCTATCCCTGGCACCAGACCAATTGGAATGCTGGGCTCAGATACAGGGATGCATGAAAAAGATTAATGAAGAATGTAACATTAACTTAACAAAATGGCATAATGAATCACTGTGAAATCCAGAGGCATGGCAACAGAAAATACAGAGGAGGGACAGATGCAGATGAGAAGAGTCCCTTGTAGACTTCAAAGTATTCTAATAAAGTACAGAAAGCAACAAATGGCCTTACTATTGTCTGCCACTGTAGGAAATGTCTTCTACCAAAGAAATTGTCCTAATTTTAATTGTTACAAAACAAGATCAATGAGGTTAAAAGAGAGCAACTGTACCCAGTTCCATTCCATCTAATGTTTCCTTATCTTTTATCTGGAGCTCTGAAATACAAGTATACAAAAGCAAACCGTCTTTCGAAAGAGTAAGTTTCATGTGCAAAAAAATGCAGTACACTCATTAAAAAAAGAGTAGGGGATGGTCTACCGGTGTGAAGGACCCTACTAGGATGGAAATAGATTTTGGACTTTCATGTTATACTCAGTGTTCTCACTGAATCAATTCAGTTTGTGGACAACTTGTAGGATGAAACTTACATCAAGTTTCAAGTTCAGTTTATTCACATGTAATGCATCATAAGGAATTACAATGAATAAAATAGGTTATATTATATAGGAATGCAAATACGTCTGGAGAAAGCCAGGTAAGCTTTAAGCCTGGTTCTACCAGTAAAAGTTTGAAAGTTTAAAATGTTTTGATAATAAAGTAAAACATACAAGAATACAAGAACAGAGTACAACATTATAATCTTAACCGGACAAGGACAGTACAGAACACAACACAACACATACACAAAGAAACAAGGGTAACGGTATTGGATTTTGTAATTAAGCTGACGAGGTTAGGCTATAACTAAAAGAATAATTATGATTAAGGATATTAAGAGTGTTTATATTTAGATATAAGGTGAGATTTGTAATTGTATTTAAAACAATTTATTGTATTGTGACTTACGATGGATGTGTCAAGTGAGTTCCATACATCTCATTAGCTTGTCAATATCTTATTACAAATTAAACTATATTTCATTATATTTGACATTTTTGTATTTGTTGGTATTTTATCAGGTCAATTCCGATGCAAGGAAAGTGAAGCGACCACCAGTATGTTCAATTTATATTATATTTTCACATATTTACTAATAGCTAAAGTAATGGGCAAAACTGTATCTTATATGCTTGTCGTTTAATATGTCTCTGTGCTCGAATCCTGTGAACCCTGGATTTTGTCCTCATGACTAAAAATTAATCCACACCCTAAGCCTTTATATTAGGGCATCGCTTCACCCCAGGGGTCCCAGATTGAAAGAAATTCCTTTACTGGGAGATCTGGTAAAATTAGCTTGCTTAACTGTAACATATTTAATTATATTTTGCTATGCATGCTGATACCCATTGGCACTGACTTTTATGAAACAGTAACGAAGAAGAGAGACTGCTGTTACTCCCAGAAAACTTAGGAACCATGTCACCCAGCAAGTAGCAATTTACTTACAGAGAATTCAAATATTAGAATTTTAAAGAAAAAATGAGATAATGGGTGATATATCTTGAATCATGTACGTAATTTAACACTTTACTTGTAATTGATATCGACCAAGAATAATTACAAATTTTGCAATTGTCTTTCACGTAGGGTGTTAAAGGCTACTACATCCAAGAAGTCCCTCCCGGAGGCAAGGTAAGGATGTACTTCTATTCAAATATAACCACTGTTAATCTTGTATTATCAATAAATCAACCAAGTAATCTATCATTCAATCAATCAATCAGAATGTTAATTGATCAATCAGTTGTTCTTGCATCAATAAAGAAGCGCTTAATGTCTCCAAAGGAAGACCAATAAGTGTTTTTAGATTACATTACTGTTAATTTTAACCAGTTTTCTGATACCTAAAATGATTTATTGTCAATTTAGGTGCCAGCGACTGATTCCCCAGTCATAAGCAATTGCTTTAGACCATGAAGAAAAAAATTGTTTAAACAAATATAATATTGTAAAAACAAATTATTAAGGTGTTTCTTTTTGTAAGTAGATTTTTCGGCGTGGTATTAACTATGGCGGAAATGATATGTTCGTGGATAACGATATTGAAATTGATGGTCCTGACGGCACTGAGCAACCAGATCCTGAATCAGAATGCCCTATGTAAGTCTCGTTGGCCACTCTTCAATTTATTATAATTATTATTGTTGTTATTGGTGTTTTATTGTTGTTATTATTGATATTATTGTTGTTGTTGCTATTGTTATTATTACTATAAATGTTCCAATAAGCACCTCTCACATACACGCTGCTGTGGAATCCACACCGCACCAGACATGATTTTTTTTTTACTTAGAGCCACTCTCAAACATGCGCTAACGTCACAATGCTTAATCGAGAATACGTACCTAACAACTAAAATGGGAAAGCGCTTAATGTCTCCAAAGGAAGACCAATAGGTGTTTGTAGATTACATTACTGTTAATTTTAACCAGTTTTCTGATACCTAAAATATTTTATTGTCAATTTAGGTGCCAGCGAGTGATTCCCAACAAAGAAGAATTGGAACGGCATGTTGAACGTTGCACCAACAACTTTGACTAGCTAAGGCCTGATGTATGGTATGATTGGTCAGCATTAAAGCATTGAAGAGACATATATTATTATATTATATTATATAATATATATAATATACATAACACACACATATATATATGTATGTATGTATATATACATACATACATATATTATTGTGTGGCTAGCAAAGCGAGCTTGAGCACTCACAGTCAGTGAAGAAGGTTGCACTTCCTGTGCCGCATGTTCAGCTTCGTGTATTATTTCTCCTTTTCCAACCAGAAGTTGCACTACATGTTTTAGTACACTAGGGACTTTGCAGTGGTTTCCTATAGTAACTTAACAATGAAATGCACTTCAAACAATGCATTGAGATCAATTCAGTCTTCTATTTCATTGAATATTTTTACACATTAATATTAACAATATCAACAATATTTCATTAAAAATAATGATAAATAAAATAAATATTATACCATTTTTATTAGTTAGGAAAATATATGAATAATATATTTTTTCCTATCCACCCAGAAGTAGCACTGATGTTAGTAATGTTTTGTAATACTGTTTCGTGCAGTAACTAAATGCATTTCAGAAGAGGCAAGTCAAATAAAAATATACAACTTCATGAATAAATATCAAATTATATAAATCAAATTATATATTAATATCCAAATAATTATATAAATCATAAAAATCATTGAAACTATACATGGAGAAGAGTTTCACACCAAATTATTCCTAATATACTGTAGTGCGATATATACTATCACAAAACAGAGAAAAGATCACATATTTATACTATAAAATGACCTCTGACCTTTGTTACTTTTATTAGCATTTTGTGTCTGAATAGAAAATCTGGCTCCATTGAGATCTTAAAATTCTATCAAGACATTTATTTTTCTCAATATTTTTACTTTTCTCTTAGAAGAAAAAGATAAATGTAAGTTTTTAGAGGTTTGTAAGTGTCATGAACCTCCACATTATTAATTGTATTGGTCACTTAATTATTAAAATCTGATGAAAGTAATTTTATTCCAGCATTTTTTATTCAATTTTATATTTAACTTTGAAGTACGATTCAAAATATATTTTGAAGCACATGGATAAAGTATACAGAGGTATACAGAGATGTATAATCTTGTGCACCGCATTGATATTCTGTTTAAAAATAGCTATCAAATTAATTGAGGACTATTCTATTAACAGTTTTTAGCAGATTCTATCAAAATGAAATATAATGTAATATTGTATTATTATTATAATTTCATTTTTTTGACTAAATTATATTTTTTTGTTCTTATATTTTGTTATCATATTGTATGGTATCATATTATGATTATGAAATTATGTTTGTTTCACTATTAAATTAAGTATTGAAGTAATTAAACTTCTTTGAAATGCATATTCATTGTTTGGGAAAATTTTAAATGCATTTGAACAGAAAATTTATATGTCTAGCTTTGCACAGTTTATTTCTCTTATGGTAATATTATAGAAATTCATTATAGAATGATAAAGACCGTAATAAAGGTTAAAACCAGTTCGAAATTTTATCGTAATAAAGGTTAAAACCAGTTCGAAATAAAGAAAAAAATTAGAAGAAAGAATGAATAAACATACACAGGTATACCAATAATGATAAATACGAGAATCGTATTTATCATTATCCTGACATGATTGATTTATTTTAAAACCAGCCAAACAATTGCTGGATTTGGTGTTTGATGATTTTCATTTGCTTAATTTGCCTAAAGTTTTGAGTGTAATCCGGAATTTAATATTTTATTTAGTTTTTAGATTAAGAGAGTTTGATGATATTGATGCAGTAATGGATCTATCAGTAGGTCCACTCTTTTTTGCAGCAGTTATTAGTGATCGTAATTAATTATGCTTATCAGAAGAAAAAAATGGATAAACACACAATTGATATTTGTTGGTTAAAGAATCGTATTTATGATTATCTTAATTATTTATGAAGGATTGGTATTTGTTTTCAGCAGTTACAAGTGGGCATGCAATGTGAATGCCTTATTCTAAAACCAGTCAACTATGAGTGTTAGTAATGCAGAATTACATATTTGATTTGTTTTTTAGATCAAGATAGTTTAATGAAATCGATGTAAGTGTTTATCTATCAGTAGGTCCATTGCCTTATTGCAGCAGTTCTCATTGTCAATGAGCATTTCAATATTAAGATCCATGTTGTGGGTGATTGCAGTCTTTTGGTCTAATGGAAAGCAGTATTTCAAGTTTCTTGTCACTGATTTTTCTGTGGATTGTGATCTATTGTGAAGATCCGATGCAGAATGCTATATATCACTTCATTTTATGTCGTGTTTTGCAGTTAATATTAGTTTTACTGTTTATTGGTGTTTATATCTATTGATTCTGAATTGACTAGAACATCATATTTTAAATGATTATAATGGTCTCATAATTGATAATTGTGGGATTTTAAAGATCTCCTTTAATCACAACTATTCAGTGTGATTTCCAATTGCTGAAACTGATCATTTTTTTTCAGTGTTGATCACTGTTGGCTTTAGCTTTCATTTGTGTAGTTATGGCAATCTTTGAAAATTTGCATATATGGTGTACTGTCTCAATATTGGTTATGTATCCAGTTTTTTATATTATCGCATGAATTTAATGCTTCTTGGATAGAATAGTCTGTAGGTCTACAAAGTGTTCTTTGAAAGGTGTATACTGTAGATAGGTATACATATTTCTGAAGAGCCTTTACTTTGTCTACGTTGGTAGATTTGTTTTAGGAATGTAGTAGTTTTGTTGTGGTTACAATATACAACGATAGTTGTGATTGTCATTTGAATAATCTGGGATGAATGACCTACCAGAGGTTTAATCACCTTCTCTGCACCCTGGTGCTGTCACCAGTATAGAAGTGTATCAGCATTTTGTTTCACTTAGGTAGAATCGGTTGTTCTCTGTGGTTTGATGAAGCATCTTCTCAAAAGCATATAATATTGAATTTTAAAAAATTCAATATGTTTTAGTGAAAAGTGAAGATATGTAAGATCATCATCACATGATTTACAAAACTTCCAACAAGGAAGAAAACACTAAATGAATTTTTGAGGATAAAATGTTATAAAAAAATTGTGATTGATCTAACTGATTTTTTCTTTTGGTTTAAAAGAATGTTAAAGCACTCAAATTTGAAAGCTTGATTGTAGTATAGTGAAATGGCAAAATTATTAAATTCCTGTTTTAAACAGAATGATGCGTCTTGTTATTTCTTATTGTCTTATTGTTAATTTCATTATTTTAAACAACACAGTAGAGAGTTTTAAAAATTCGCCATGTATAAGTTGCCATTATTTTTAAAGTTACTTGCGATATGGGGTGTCTAGAAAACTAAGACCTAAGATATCTTAGTTTTCTAGATCTAGAAAATTAAGATATCTTAGGTCTTAGTTTTTTAGACACCCGAACTTGTTGCTAAGTGCGTCATTGCAACAAACCACTGGACCGAGAAAAAAAGACCGTAAACAAAATACCTACCCCAGCATATAATAGCAAAACACATAACATCATCCATTATATCATATATATAGGTATCATTATATTATATATAGGTGTATATTTATATCTTATATATACATATATATATGTATATATATTATATATATAGGTGTATATTTATATCTTATATATACATATATATATGTATATATATATATACATATATATATGTATATCTCACTGACTTGATAAAGGGTTACGCCCGAAAGATCTCGTCTATTTTCTTAATAAATTTTGAGGCAAATCTATTACCATTTCTACGAGTTTTATTTTATATATATATATATATAATATTTTGGTCTATATTTTATTTTGTTTAAGGTTGTGTTATCGCTGATGCTTACCTAATTCAGTACAAGTTGATCCGTCGCCAACGTCTGTGTGTGTGAGTGTGGACATTTTTGTTGGTTGCTTTTTTTTCTATATTTTTTAAAAATTTGGTACCGGTATGTTGTAGAATAGACAACTCTCTGACTATAAAAAGTATGTGCCACAATTTTTTTTATTATTATTGAATCGTCTCTTAAATGCTCCGCCTGATAGTCCAAATGACGGGCGTACATTCATAAAGCTGATAAACAGACACCTCCCACACGGACACAAGCTCCACAAAATATTCAACAAAAACAACGTGAAAATACGTTACGGCTGCATGAAAAACATGAATTCCACAGGCGGGGATCCAGACCTTCGCCCAGTTCGCCCAGGCGAAGGTCAGGGTGAGAAATAAAAATAAAATGTTGAACATTTTTCAATCATACTTACTTTCCTTGACACTTATATCGAACATTACCATTAGGACAGTGTTTAAATCCACACTATTTATACCTTACACTTTTACACTAATTGCACTGTAGGCCATACCACGACTCTACCAGAGAGGTAGATTCCCAATACATTATGGTCTTCCACTTCTATAGCGCATGATACAGTGCATAACAAACGTTACGTAAACACTACTACTACTAATAATAATATTATTATTAGTTATATATCGCATATTGTAGATACCTCTATGCGCTTAGCATTATTACACCCAGCCGTTGGGTCAGGCACATATGGAATACATACTCAGGTCCAGTAGCGTAGGTATGGGCACAGCACTGTGGCCCGGGACTATTGGGGGCCCGTTCAGTAGGTCTAATGATCTAAAAATATAACTTTAAAAAAAAATCATATTTAAACTTTAAAAAGACTCTTTAACAATATTTAGGTTTTAGAGGCTATAATTATTGATTATATTTACTACAATTTACCTGTTGCCTATTTCCCAAACGCTGCAAGTTAAAAAAAATAACAACAAAGCAAGCCCTTACGTATAAAATACTTTTTGAAATCACATTTCTAAAGCAATAAAATATCGTCACCACTTTCTTGTTTGTGGTATTTTAAAGTTGGTTCAACTCTTGTGTATGTTTTTGAATCACGTCAGGTCATAATAACTTCATGAATACATTTTAGATTCACTTCACTGCAAGCAAGTCGATAATTGTTCTATTATTAAATGGTAATTGTTATTATCGTGATGGAATTTACCTGGATTTTTGCCGAACATGTCGTGAAAATGTACTGAATACTCAGTGCGTGTGAACAAACTTGCAAAAAATATTTGCAAGTTCTCCCGTGGGACTCGAACCCACGATATTCAGATCACTAGTCTGGCATCATACCTCTAGACCACTGAATAATATACTGCCACTGTGTGTTTAGATCCTTTTCTGATTGTTCGATGTATTCGGGTCCGTCCTTGCTTCCTTTTCCCATGGGTTGGTTCCCAAAAGAGAACCCTTGAAATAACTTCATTTTTACTTCTGTAGTAATGTCCAGCAAATGCTAACATTCGTGCCCTCAAAGTTATTGATATACAGGGGAATACCTCCATATATAATGTTATTTATAGTTGATATTCAATGCGTGTCTGAGTAATCTTGTATAACATCCATTCTTATCTCTCAAGAATCTGTTCATTTATCTTTTTACAATTTAAATTCCGTAATAAGCAATACCGTATATACTCGCGTATAATGCGACCCGTGTATAAGACGACCTCCGAGTTTTAGAAGATTTTTGGTTGATATTTGTATGTCGGGCGAATTCCTAATTTTTTGTGGCCCTGTGCATCTAGCTGGCTAAATGAAGCCAAATACAAGGGTAATCTTCGAAATAATACCATTTTATGAGTTTTTAAATCTTCAAAACCAAAATCGTATTCCCCCGTATTTAAAATTGCTTTCATTCATACAACATTTAGTTGCTTCATTACAGTAGCAAGTTCGCGTGTTACGGACGATCCGCACATAAGACGAACATGATTATAAAAATCTAAAATTTGAATGTCGTGCACATATGACGTATTCAAGGGGAACCCCGGCCCGGGCCCCCGTAAATATTTGAAAATTATTTTTAAGAATGGAGAGAAAAAAACTGAAAATTATATTCAAATCCTGAGAGTGCCATTTCCGGCCATCTACAGGCGACGTAATCTTAATTTTTTTTTTATGGTGGCTGAGGTGTCTATCTGTGAAGGTCCCTCTCTGGGCACCATCTATTTCCAATTTCTGGATCCACTGCTGCAAGGACCCATCTGTGCGAAGGTCATGGGAAATCCTGGATCCGCGCCTGATTCCATCATCAAGGGACACAATTCGCAACTCATCAAAAAAGAAGTTCAAGCAACAAATCCAAGAACATGCAACTGCAGAAATAAAAAGAACTGCCCACTACGCGGCGAATGCCTAAACAGTGCACTGATATATAGGGCTACAATAACTTCCGACGAGGGGCAAAACTCATACATTGGACTATCAGGCGGAGCATTTAAGCAACCATTCAATAATCACACAAAGTCCTTCAGGCCCCCAAAAAAAAATTTGAAAAAAAACCCCCAAAAAACAGAACTCTCAAAACACATGTGGGAGTTAAAAAGAAAGGGCTATAAATACTCTCTGAAATGGGAAATCATTAAAAATTCCAACACACACAAACGCAAATCTGGCCAGTGCAACCTATGCATAGAAGAAAAACAGCAATCCTAATGGTAAATCAATCAAAAAAAAGAACCGAACTAGTCGCTAAGTGTCGTCCAACAGCAACCCACTAAACCGTGTTAAAAACAATAGATTTACCTAACCACTCCATGATGAACAATATAAATAGGATACCAACACCTAGGCCTAACTACAGTTGTCTGATGATCGCCATTAAGCGTGAAACTCACATACTGTATAAAAAGTATGTGCCAATTTTTTTTTTTTTAATGCGCAAGGGGTAGCCAGCAATTTCAAAATGGCCGCCATTTTGAAACATTTTATTACCAATAATTGTACATTTATGACACTAAAATAGATGCTAATATATAAAATATTTTTTCATATAAATGACAATAAAAATAATAATAATATTTCACTTCAAATTTGCTACATTGAAATCCAAAATGGCCGCCATTTTAAATATTTTAGCTATTTTTTCATATATTTAATATATAAATGATTTAATTAATCCCAGAAAACCTAGCCTTTGAAATGGAATTAATTAATTAAATAATTATAATAACCAAAATACGCAAGATGCGGGGCTGGTGAAATTACACCTTAGTTGATAATATGCAAATTACCTTAAATATGCATATTAGGGATAGGCATACAGCATATCTTGGAAACCACTGGTCGTACAGGCTTTGCTTTCTTTTTTAAATTGTTAAGAATATACTACATTTTTATTTGCTTTAATGTAACATTTTCTCCAAGAGTGACTGGAAATGTGACATTTGACCTATAATCTTATTCTGAGGGATTTCAGTGCCAGTGTTTGTAGTCTCAATTTATTCAGATATATGTTTTTATTTGACACTTTAACAAGATATTTTGAGGAAAATTCACTTAAAACCATGTTTCTTAACTTTGGCCTTACGAGGTCTTCAAGTAGACATTTGAGTGGCTTAGAATATATTATTATGTTAAGTTGTCACTGTGAAACTACTCAAACCACTTTTCCTTTTCCAAGTGTATGTTTTGATGTTTTTCTTTTTGTGTTGATTGTTATTTTTTCCTGTGTCAGTCCTTTTTCTCTGTGTTTTAGGTTTTCCGACTAGTTGCATTTTAACAATATTTCACCATTTAATAATATTGTAGGCCTATTATTGTAAATTTTGTAAATCTGCTAACAATTCAGTTATGTTTTACTGCTATGAGATTTGATAATAAGAACAGAAAGAAAAACAAATTATATTAATTTTCTCTAGCTAAATATACTTTTTATTCATTGTCACACAGTGTCTGTCGGTACTCCAGTGCATAATGAATCACGTAGCGACAAACCTTACGTTCCACTTTGTGGTTTGAATATACTGAAAACTCAGTATATTGGTTGTGACAGCAAGCAATACAAACTCTGTTTTTAATCACTTTAACAGAAGTTTCCCTGTGATGTGCCTGAAATGTTAGAATGTACCTATTTTAAGAATCGTTAACCAGTGGCGGCTCTAGCATATATTTTCTGGGGCTGTGCTGTCCGATTGTGACAGACAATTGTGATTGTGTTGGCTTGGCGTATGCCTATTTTTATATGGTCCAACTGCCCGACGAGCTCTGCCCAAAGGGGGAGGGGGATTGACCTGTCCGGTGGGGGACTTAAGCTCCGCTGTCCCACCCCTCCCCCCCCCTGCTGTCTCGACACTGTGTTTAACAATCGACCAATTAGAACAGGGCCAGAAATAAATGTTTGTCGCAACTCACGTGTTGCACAACACAAACGTTCACGCCGTCGTTTTGTGAGAACTAACAGTATCCGAAGGGTGACCTATGTTACTAAGTATCTCTTCTAAGCTTTTACACTCAGATATAAATTTATAATATTTAATTGTTTTACTTTTTAGACAAAGGTATTAGCTTTCATTTTTATAAAATTAAATTAAATGCAATAACCCATTTTTCGGAATTCTCTAAATCTAATACATGAAAACCCGGATGTTTTGCAATAAATAAATAAATAAATAAAACAATGATTTCGCTATTGACTGATATCAGTGAATATCTGTCCAATGTTTGAGCCGCGCGATTAGTTGAATTGTACTCTATCAATCAAGAACCATCCGTTTTGCAAAATTGGCCTTTGACCATAAATGCTATTAAGTAAATACATATGTGTTCGATGGCATGAAACTCGCCTTCTTAACTCGTCACTTCGTTTTTTATATAAGTGCCATCGTACAGTAGAATAATAATATAATAATAATATTTAAAATTCACTAAATCAAATAATTATTATAAAATTGTTGTTTTTATTATTATCAATACCGTCCTGCACTATTTAGTTGTCGTACGCTGTCGGCATCGATTTAAGACTTTGAACCCCAGATATCGAGGTGCTTCTCATTTGTTTAATTTTTTTCTTTATATAAACATAGGCCTGTACGACGGCTGTAGTTATCAACCAACATGACCTTTACTTTATGTATAGTCTGACTACCACGATCAAGGAATGGCTTCTACAATAGGAAAGGTAAATGGTTTACAACACATGTGACACATTGTGAGCATCAAATGAGTACCATAACATACAATATCACTTTTGACATGTAATCGATGACTTAGTGCTTATTAATGTGTTTTCAGGTAATTACTTGCAAAGCAGCTGTGAGCTGGGAACCCAAAAAACCTCTGAGCATCGAGACGATTGAGGTTGCTCCTCCAAAAGCCGGCGAAGTTAGGATCAAGGTATGTGTATGA